TCGGGAGGGACCTCCTGCCTGGGGGTAGGTTTGTTCCATGCATTGCATGAGGTATTCCAGGTGGTTGAGGACGGCTTGAAACTGTTCATACGTGACCAGGTTCTAGGGGTTCTTGGCTCTTTGTACCATGGTGTTTGAAGCTTTAGGAGAACTTGAGTTTGTAGTATTTTGGGGGATCGTCTTAGCAATGTTTCCCACAGACGGTGCCAATTGTTGATGCCCGGTTTGGTCGAGGGTAACAAAGTAATTTCACTCCCAAACTTCGAAGGAAGGCCGTAGGCTTTAAGGATCTAGAGGAGATGAGTCGAGGCCAAGGACTAGAGGCCGAGGCGAATCGCTCCTTCGGATACTGTAGAAGCCGAGGGCTAATACTGAGAAGGGTTTCCGAGGGAGGACGAGATGTTGTTCCCATAGTAGTGAATCTGCAAGGGAGAAGGTGTCAGAGGCCTGGGGTGATAACCCGAGGTGGGGACCCCGACAACCATGTTAGTATGTGCACGAGGTAAGTAATGAGTCTGGAACCAAGGGGTCCAGACGAGGTCTCAGATAGCACTAAGTCCTTAGAGGAGAGAGCACTAGAGATCACAAAGGTTTCGAATCCCTTACCTTGTGAGGGGGTGCCTTGAATTTATACCTGGAGCTGCCAAGCGGTAGTTGGGCTCAGATGGTCCAGATTTGAGCCATACGAGGGCCTGGCAAGATGTTCTACTAGAGCCACACAACACCCTGTGACTGGGTCTGCCTGGTCCGCATTAGGTAACCCTGAGCATTCTCATGGTAAGCCTATGTGGGCGTCCTCCATTCGACACATGTCAGCCTTGTACAAGCCAGCCGAATGCGCCTACATCAACTACTTTTTCCTATCATGCTCAGGCTTCCAACTTATTGGTATGTGGTCTTATGCTTCAAAATGGGTGTTGGACTTGTGACCAAAGAAACCAAGTGTCTATTTTTGAAAGTTGGACATGCTTCCAACTTTTTCCTATCATGCTCAAAGAAATGCAATGGTATCAAAGAAACCAAGAGTGCAAACATATCAAGATCTACTTACAAGGATCCTTGCTATCCTATCAAGTATATTGGATGAACGAAATGCAGTTATATTTCGGGGTGCTCATGGTTCGATTCAGTGCGATTTAGAGAAAATCTCAGACCAAATTAATAAATTACGGTTTGAAAAATTCTCAAAGCAAATCAAACCATTTTGACACAGAAATCAACCCGTTTTATTACTGTTTGGTGTGGTTTCTAATACAAGTTGGGCTTAACCCAAATAGAAAGCCCAAATTACACCCCTAAAAATTAAAAATTTAAATATTTTATTTTTTATTTTATTATAAAATAAAAAGTTTGTTATATATTTATAATTTTATACATTCGGCTTATATATATACATTATTTACTTATAAAACCAAACGGAACCGCAAGCCGCAATTTAGGAAAATATGAAACCAAACCAAACTAAACCACAAATTCGGTTTGGTTCTTTCAATTTGCGGTTTGAACCAAACAATGAATACCCCTCATTATATTTAAAGGAAACTCTTGACATTTTTGTTAGAGACGACCAATATTATCCTCTAAACACTCAACTGCTGGCAAACTTTCAGCTATTATCTTTTTGATGCAAAGGCAGTTCTTGAAAGCATTTGAGTAACCAACAGAAAATTCAGTTGGAAAGATGATCAACAGTGTGGCTAACCTCCTATATATTATTTATTTGGATCCTTCTTGTATTAGGGGGTGTATGATGTATCCTTGATGTTTTAGGGGTTCCACCTCTTGAAAAAACAAAAAAAAAGAAACAAAAATTATGAAATCATTTCTTTCTCACTTGTGCTTTGAAAGAACATTTGGGTCTTTTTTTTTTCACAAAAATGCATAGGGTGCAAAACAAGTTGACACATGAAATTTATTTTGTTACGCATGATAAAACAATATGGCAAAACCAAACACTTATGTATGCTCTTAACCTCAAAAGCTTGTTTAAAAAACAATATCTACCAAACTACAAAATCACATAGTGAAAGCACGATTGACACAAAAACAGAAGCTTATCTCAAGCACCATAGTTTCTGTGATCGACTATCAAGTATCTTATTGTCTAATTAAATATATGGAATATAACTAAGAAAATAATACTAATTGCTTGAAATGATTGCTAGCGGAAAATCTTAATATTCCATTAGGACTTGAGAGTCTTCACCTAAAAAAAAAAAAAAAAAAAAAAAATTAGGCCTTAGGAGACAAGGTTCAAAAGATAGGAGATACAAGATTTCAAGTTGAGGCGTTGGAATTAGGATTAGGATTTAGGAATGAACTTTTCTTATCTTTTTACCAATTCTTTTGCTTGGAAACTACTTTAAAAACCATATATATGTTTGAAAAATATGGGGGTAAATACCAAACCCCTCCCCCACAAATAATTTGGGGTGTCTAGTATTTTTTTATACATAAGGTGTATCTCGATATGTCTTTTAAATTTGTCTTTTTGATACATTTAGCATTGCCAATACTTTGAACCTTGTTTTCTAACAGTTACTTCTGATTATTATTAACTGCTAACACTTACAACCATTATGATTATACATTGTTCATTTGTTTTTAGCTACAAGCTATCGTACAACAATGAGTTGATCCCATTGATCATCAAACCTTAATTTTGTTGCATTTTGTATTGAATCTTCAAGAAGGCTTAGCTTCAGATTTGAGAAAGATTTTAAGATTGTTCCAAACTAGATGTTTTAAGCTATACCCAATTCACCTGCTTCTTAGACCATCAATCCCAACCGGTGAAGCATTAACTGCTTTGAGTCCCTGCTGGCTTGACAGCTCTGGTGGTCAAGTTAGTACCGAGTTGTGTGTGTGTGTGTGTGTGAGAGAGAGAGAGAGAGAGAGAGAGAAAGGAGCTAGTGGCAGAGATTTAGAGCAGAGTGTGAGTGTAAGAGCAAGAGTTTGAGTGTGTATAGTTGCCTCTAAGGGGGCATTCTTTTTTTGGATTTTGAGAGGGGGGAAAGTTGGTCAATGGGATTTTGGTTCCCATTGACCAAGAACCCCATGTTCTTTTTTCAGATTTATGTGGGGACTAGGGAAAGTTTATTTTCCTGGGTACCACTTACCCAGGTAAGTGATACCCATCCCCTAGGTGGGTAAATAATTTTCCCACCTAGGGGTGAAGTTGCCAACACTTGAATGGGACAAAAATGCCCTTTTTAATTATGGATATTATGGCTAAAATGGTCATTGCCTTATTTTCATGATAAATAAAAGAACATGGGTAAATGCATTTACCCGGGTAAGTGTTTTCTAGGAAAAACTTACCTAATTAACTACATTTACCCGGATAAATAACTTACTGAAAAGCAAATGAAGTCTAAATAGATTACAGAGTCGGTTAAAAGCGCATCTGAAATATTCGAAGGTAGCAAGCCTCAATCACCCAATACTTGGGGGGTATTCCCGCACAATCATCACATTAACCCTTATCCCGTTCCCCAAGAAACGGGAGGAACCAAGCTTACCATTGCTAGGTGGGCAACGTGTCATAGTGCTTTCTGGGAACGTCAAGTGACTCGAACGGATTAGGGGAGACATGCCATGTAGATTAGTATCTTCGAGGCCAGATAGCTCATCAAGTCATCAGTTGCCCAAGTCGAGCTGGGAGCTCAGGCACATCTAAAAGATGTGCATAGGGCTAGGAACAACTCTCATTCAAAATCAATCCCCGAGTTGGTCAATTGATAAAAAGACATGATAACATGGCATCCTCACATGTGCTAGAAAATCTTTTTAGTTAAGGGATACAATCCAATAAATTGTAGAATAGAATCTTGGGAGAATGACCAATCAGCCCAGATCAGAATTTTATAGCCCCATAGTACAGGGGGAATGCATCCTGACCGTGAATTGATGCCAAATTCATGGGCAGGATGTGGTTTATAGGGGGGAGAGGGCGAATAGTAAGGGGGGGGGGGGCTGGAATTCAGAATTCTGCATCGGGTGTTTCCGTACTTCTCCGTAAAATCTTCCAAAAGAAGTTTTCAACAGAATCAGACATTAGAGAAGTAACAAACTCCAAGAAAATCTCTCAGATCCTTGAGATTCTTCTCTCGGCTTCACATCTAGAATTGAAATCAGAATCGAAATCCCCCGGGACCAGAATCAGAATGGTCTATTCCCATAGTCTGTTTGGTTTAGATAAGAATCATAATAGGAATTGGAATAAGCTGGAATAGAATTTCTTTTCAAAGGGAGGGGGAGGGAATGGCCATCCCTCAAATGGGGGAATGCCATTCCAACAGGAATGGGAATGGGATTCCAATTCCACCTAACCAAACAGATGGAATGAGAATGGCCCATTCCGTTTTTTATTCCAGACCCTATTCCTGTGAACCAAATGGGCCCTCAGATGGATCAGGCTTGAGACTTAATCTTAAACCTCTTAGATCACCCCACAACCTTCAGGTCATTTCCGGCCAACCTTATCCCGTGGGCTTACACAATGAAAAGCCATCCATAATCTGAGAATGGCAACATTCATCAATTAATAGGTCAACATTTAGATGGTCCATGGTTCAAAATTTGCTAACTTAGACAAAGACAATTGCTTGTCAGATGATATATAATGCTAGGATAATTTAGCGATGTCATATTTTAAGCTTTATTAATAATAATTTTAAGAAAAAGAAGGGGGCCATTGCTTCGTGTAATGGAAAAACCTTGGATAATTGAATTGACAAATGTGAGAATGTTATTTGAGTCTGGTTCTAGACCACTTAATTGGATCGGAAGTTAAATAACAATTTTGCAAGAACCAGAATTAGATCATGATGTCAACATATATTTGGTTGTTATTAGAATAACCGAGGTACTTTAATTCACTGTCTCTAGTTTCAATTTGTATCAACTTTGTCCATTCAAGCAGAACACTTTGCAGTACAGAATGCAGGCTTCTTTCAAAACCATGATTGAGGAAAAATGAAATATATATTTCTAGAATTCTTTTCCTTCTATGGTACATATATAGAATTTTTTTATTCCATGTTACAAAGTTCTTAATCAGTGTATTTCATCTCATATTTCAGGAATTTTCAAGTCTTAATCTCTGTCTACCCTCACGTTTTCCTCTATTTTTATGTACTGTGGATGATAAAAATATTTTGAAGATAAAATTTTTATATACACGTAGAAAGTCATTTAGTAATGTCTATAGTGATATTTACCAACTCAATGTTTCACCAACATGGCATCCAACCTTTTTTTTCTTGCCGCATGTTTCAGTTTCTCCAAGGCAACAAGCCCAACCTGCCGAACTCGTTCTCTTGATAACCCAATCCTGAAGATAAACATTGTAAAATAAGTAGCAGTACATAACTCCAGTGACAGAAAAATTATAATATAGCTAGTTATATGAGCTACTCTTTCTAAAATGTATATAGTTTTGGCAGGAACCTAGGTGACTAATGTGCACTGGTACACAGTTATCATTCACAATTGGTAAGCCAGATAAAGATAATTATTTCAACCTGGTCCAAAAACCAAATGACTGGGATATGCTTGGCTTCAATAGAGTACATCCAAGAAACATTGCTAATGGGCTTGACACACTTGACATTTGTACAGAATCAAAAGCATGGTTGTTCTTCAAAAGGTTGCATAAAGTGAAACTACTGTTAAAAAAATTTAGTAATATGATTTTTTAGTGCTCACCGTCTACTTATGTCCTCCCATGTGAGGCATTCTTCATCCAAACCATAATAAAGACGTATTATATCTCTCTCCCGTTCCCTAAGTGTTGTATTGAGGAGATTGTTAACTTCATCCTGAAAATGGATTATTTGAGAGTTAACATTTTGGTGATTTATGTGAAAGTAATACCTGAAATATTAGAATGAAAGGAAAGATAGAATAGGCACCAAAACATTAGATAGTCGGAAATTTTCAACTAGTGTGAAAGGTCTGTCTCAACATTTCATGGTTTCATTTTCTACATCCATATGGAGAAGACTGGTTTTCCAAATCAAATCACAGAGAAATTTTCAGTAGAGCTAAGGCAAATGTAAGCTATGGCCAGGTCCATTTACTTAACATGCATAGAAGCACATGAGAAACAGTAACAAGGTGGAATCATTTCACAGGTTACATAAAAGAGATTTCCTTGGTAAAAAAGGGACGAAGAAAGAACTCTATGTCCAATGTTCGTTAGCACAAAGAGAAAAAATATTCTATAGGAATATGTCCGATAAGTATCAATGATATTGCTGCCATGGAGTGGTTTTGTGTAAGGTAAAGGATTTGAGAGAATAACAGGATATGAAATAGACGGTGCAATGCAATTGTGCATTAAAAGTAAGACCTAATTCCAAATAACTGGAAAATGCTGGATAATGTAGATTGAAAGAAACAAATTGTTACAATCATCCAAATGGCATGGAATGCATAACAAGTAGGGGTGTGTTGGATAGCATGTGCTAACAGCTCCTGTATGAAATAAACAATAAAACCTCCTACCTATGGTATCATATTTAAAGTTTCTACAATTGTCCCATTTTATGATTTAATTTCTTTACCTTTACTTAGTCCCCTCTCCCCCCAAAAAAGAATTATCTTTACCTTAAGTGACCATTCATCCACTCCATGCCATGGGTTGTTCTCAATACGATTATCAGCAATATACTGTAAATTGAGAAGATTCAAGTCAACAAAAAACAGCATGAGTATGCAACTTTAAACAGAGTCTTATGCTTGGGCGATTTAATTGGTAAGGATAAACCTACACTATGAAGAGTTTCCCCTGGAAGGCCATTTAGAGAAGGAAAGGCCTCTCTGTCAAGTGAAATGACCTTATTGACTGCCTGCAATATAGTTTTTATTGTAAAAGCAGGATCATGAGATTAACAATCTGGACATAATTTTGTGGTAACAAGGATAAATCTTGGAATATTTAGTACCTCTGTGGCATTCCTAACTTTCTTCTGGGATATATTCAAGCATTCTGCAATTCTCTGGAAATGAGAATAGTTTGTGTCAAACTCAGAGATAAGCAAAAAACAATAACACATTAGTTGATATAAAAACAGAATGATTCCATGCACCATATTTCACAAATGAAGTGCTAGAATTACCTATTACTAGTATCCCGCAAACAGAAATGTGCCAATTAAACCAATAGAAGAATAAAAGATCACTTACATCTATTGAAGGAGTTATCCCTTTTTCTTCCAACCTGATTTTTGCATTCCGAATTAAGCTTAACCTTTCATGCATATGTGAGGGCAATCTTAGGGTTCTGGAATTCTCAACCAATGCTCTTGAGACACCCTGAAAACGAACAGAAGCATATGCCGCTGTAAGCTTACTAGAACAACTGAATATGGCAGCAATCTGGAAGTATATGTTGCAACTTGGGCATGCCTGGGTTGAGAATTCGTTAAATTTTGAAATGGCCAAGACTGAGGGTGTAGGCCTGATGATATGAAGAATCTACAAATTGGGTATCCAAGTTCCACCCCTATGTGAAAGTACTCCTCAATAAACAAAGTCTTAATTTAGATACCAAAACTAATGCACTTTAGAAATTATAAAGTACTGCCGAACTTGCATTTCATGCTTTAGAATGTTTAGACTCATAATATATAAATGGGACCAAACAGGAATAAGCCCAACTGCACATATTTTTCTCCTTTTTCTACGTTAAAAAACAATGATGATTTGAATCAGGGTGCCTTATGTTAGCCATGTATGGTTAACTAACAAAGAGTTGGATCAATAATGGATTACTAAACAGCACTCAGATGGCCCTCCATAGATGCTATCAATATGCTTATATTCTGAAAGTGGCACCAAAGGTTTACAAACAAATCTATTCCTCAAGGCAACTATGAAATACAAGGCAATAGAGAGGCACGTTGTTGCCTAGGTGTTTAGGCAGGTGCCTAGGTATTGCCAAGAGTACAAATTAAAAGTTCATATATTTTTCCATGTTGAAGATGTTTCTAGTTTCATATGTTATCAGATAGAAAAACACAATGAAGAATAAACTTAATTTCACCTGACGTATCCACCAATAAACATAAGTTGAGATTTTGCAGCCCTTGGAAGAATCAAATTTCTCAATCCCACGGAGTAACCCAATCAAACCACCCTATATGACAATAGAAGTTGGTTCATAAGAAGACGACTTCAAATATCTGATTACAGCTAAAAAGGTTAGCAGGAAACAAAATATATTAAAAGGAAGAGCCAGAGAGGAAGGTATTACTTGTACAAGGTCAGCCATTTCAGCCCCCATGTTATCATACTTATGAGCAATAGACATGACTAAACGAACATTACTCATTGCTATCTTCTCCCTTGCCAAAGAACATTCGATCATTTTCATTTGTAATTCAGCACGTGATATCCTCAAGGATGTAGCAAGTTGCTCATCAGAAGGCTCACATCCTAATCGTTCCTTTAATCTGGAATTCCCAATATTATGTTAGATATTTCATAGGAAAAAATCAATTATAAACTAAATACTTTACAATGATCATCCATTTATGAATCTGAACAATGAATTAAAACAATCATGACCACACTACATCATGTTGAAGCACAAAAACTATTATCACCAATTCAATTCAGATAGATGAACCACAATCAGAACCAAATTTTTTGGAGATTCTGTAAAGTTTTCTTTTCATAATTGTTTTTTAATAGAAAATATATTGATAAACCTGAAAGAAAAACAAAAGAAGATTTCGTGTGCAGTCACAGCACAGCCTTATAGCCTGAATATGGACCTAGATTTCGTTTTTTAATTGCTTCCAAGGGTCTTTAACCGACCTCAGTATGCACAACAATGGGGACCTAAAGTTAAGCCTAATAGTGGGCAATCAATGGTGATGAACACGGACCTCTTCAGGACCATGGCCAATGGTCTTTGAGTTTTCATATTAGTTGTTGATATCACTACCATGGGGTACCGTATGAATACTAACGCACTTGGATTCATTATATGGAAGCAACAGTTGGGCGGAAACTTACCATATGAGAAAGGGTAACATATAAAGCCCTTTAAAGCCTACAAGAACCCTTGAACAATCGTGCTTAGAAAGGGGGGGGGGAACTCTAAAGTCTAAGCTACATGTAAGATTCCTGGCTCTTTCAAAGTCTTATCTAGGTGGTTCATCTAAGGAACTTGTGTGTTTGTGTGTGTGTAACCATTGTTGCCAGGGCGATGCCTAGGCGATAAAGCTTCCTTAAAATTAAGAGGTGCAAAGGGCATTATAAAAACCAATTTTCAACTTAAGAGCAATAAAATGGTTTTTATTTCCTCCTCTTTTTAATCCTCTACAATTATTCTTCTCTTTCTTTCTAATTGTGACTAGAGGGGCCATTACTTGGTGCTACCAGGCTGTCAAGTATGAGAACCCAGGTTTGAGTTTGAGAGCAGCCACTTTGTCCACTAAAATACCAAATGTTAGGACCATATCTAATCCACCCCTCTCAACAGCCCAGATAGCTGGGACTGACATTGGGTAATGGCAAGGCCTTTCTAATTGCCACTAGAATAAGGATTTTTGCATTCAAAATAACAAGGGATTTGTCCCCTTCGTATGTTTGTTTTCTTACATTCTTTGATTTAGCACACACATACATTCTCTCTCTATATCTCCCTCTTGTATTAACAAAGAGACATCCATCCTGTAGTTTTTCATAGGCTAACACAAATTAGTTCTAATTTTAATGTTTGATACTGTCATTTTAGATTACCACTAATGTTTTCTAGATGCAAGACTGACTAGGAAAATAAAATAATTCATAAAAAAAAGGAAACTGAATTTAAACCAACCAGATATTTTATATAAGAAAAATCATTGCCTAGGCAGGGCCTACCCACCTAAGAAACAAGGGGCTCTGCTCTTGCCCAGCCTCAATTTAGCATCTTGATAACTATGTGTTTGACTAGAACTAGAACTTGGGCATCATGTTCATTTAATTAAAATATCAAGATTTTATGGAATTCTGGAATTTATTTCAAGGAATTTTCTTTTCAAGTAATTTAAAGGCAATGATATATGCAAATTATATTTTCCTAACAAAGAAATTAACCTGCCAAATATTTCTTTCCACATGATAGGAAACTATCCTCATACTGAAGAACAAGGAACAAAAGCTCAATAGAAAATTTAAGTTGCAAAAGCAATGTAATAGGTTAGAATAATGCAATTCTTCTCCAGAGACATGCAGATACCTCATTTTGTGTTCCTCTAAAGAAATACCCACTTTGATTTTCTTTGATAATTGTACAACTTCACTGTGGGTCAGCAATTCTTCACTTATGACACCCTTCACATAGCCCTTTAAGCGACTCTGCAGAAGCTCTTCACTGACCATGGAGCCAAGATGCCTCCTTCTGGTTGTTTGCATCATAGAAGAATCTGTGTTCAGATATTTCTTCCTTGTATTTGTTCTCCGTTGTCGAGCAGAAACACCTGAGCGAGTGACCTGTATCTTCTTCCGTGTTTCTTCTTTTGGTGCACCTTTTCTCATAGATTTCTCGAAAGAAAGGTTCCACTGCTTCTCCAGTAAAGACTTTTGCAACAAGAGGAGAGCCTCTAAAGAATAATCAAGATCAGAGTTCCCTTCCTCTAAATGATCAGATGTCTGAAGCCACATATCTTCTGTTGAAGTGGAGAAAGTATTTAAATGTTCTTTAAGAGCCTTAATAGACTGGTTGTGTCTGTTTGATGCAAAATCATGGTCAAAATTGGATGACTTCTTTGCAATAACCACACTCTTGGACGGAGCTGTCTGATATTGTGCTAATCCATGATCATAGACAGAGGCAAGTCTGTCTGTGACATCAGAATAATAGAAAGTCGAACTCAAAAGTCTCTTCCCTGCATTAAGCCCAATAACTGCAGCTGTAGCCATTGAAGAGCTTCTTAGTGTATGAATTACCATCACACTCTATGAAGCTTTCTGGGCTTGATCCATGTCATTCAACTGTCAGGTTATACAAAAGTTACTTCAAACCTGAATGAAATAGTTTTTGTTTTCCTGGGAGGTCTCCTGGAACACTTATCTGGAATTTCTGGTATAGAAAGAGAAAAGGGTCATTAGATACTTCTTGAATACCTTGTCAAATTATAAACCAAAGTGCTTTCTATGCAAGGTAAATTATTTAGGCTCTGTTTGGAAAATTAGAATTTAAGTGCTTTGAGTATTTGATAAGAATGGTTTTTAAAAACATTATAATCTAAAGTGAAAACACTTTTAAGTCCCAAAGTACAAAACCTAAAATTAGGGCTTTGTGCTTTTAGGCTTTAAAAGCAAAAACCCTGAAGCTTAACCAACCACAACCTTAATCATCAAAAACTCTAGTATGGATGCTTGTTTTCACCTGTCACTTACGAGTTTCTTCAAGAACTTCTCATCAGAAAAAAACTAAATATCTATCATGTCTTCCTACCTAGCAACTATAATAGGAAAAAAAAAGAAAGATAGTAGCAGCCTAAGCTATAAGGAATACGTGGATTATTAAGAAAAATATTTCTATAGGTAGCCTAAGCTATAAGGCATTTATGAAAGGCAAATGTAATTAATGACCATCCTGCAACCATATGAAATTTGGAAGCATGGTCTTCTCAAATTACTCTATGGAAAGATGATTGGATTATTTAAAGAAAAGTAAATCATTTTGCTGTTTTATTCACTTCCAAAACATATATCTGCTAATAAGTGTTGAACATTTTTCCAAAATAAGTGCAATATGTTTCAGTGTAAGTCAGCAAAGACATGGTGATATCATTAACTGGAGACTTTATCAGCAAGTTAGTAATAAATCTCCAGCTTTGTAGACTTTATCTTTCAATTTTTACCTTTACTTGGGTTAGCTAAAACCTAGGCTTCATCTTTGAATTCCTTCGATGGAACTGAACACCAATATGTAAAAGGATTAAAAATCCTTACATGACTTGAATGCCATTAATCTGGTTTCTGAAGCACTGAAAGACATGCATGTATTGATATGAATTCTGAAGGAATTAAAGGTAAGAATCACCAAGAAGCTAAAACACGAACCATAAAAATAATGTCCAACTAGATAATGACTACTTAGAAACAAAGAAGCATAAAAACAAAGTAATTCTCTATAACATTGATATAATAAAAGGCCAAAGCATACCGAAGTGGGCTTTCTTTATGGGAAAACATAAACAATCTGGTAAGCTGCGGAAAACCCAAGTTGTATGTGATGAAGAAACAACACAACCTACTAAATTGTTGCTCTTTTGGGGAACATATCTTTTACTATGGTGAGGTCTCAGCACAAAAATGTATAGAATGAATGTAAAGGATGTTATAGAAAAGGGAAGAAAGGAGGCAAAGAAAAGAAAAAGGAAACACCTAATGCATTACAATACAAGTCAGCACCCTATTTCTTCCTCTTCACATGTGATAAATAGCTCAATAATCAAGGAGAAATAAAAAATATAAAGTAAAAGGAATGCATTCTCTTGCATCATAGTAGCACTTTTCTAAATATAAATAAAAGAAGCATCAAATCCATGTCTTGTCTACTAAAGTTTATCTAAGATAGAGAGCATAAGCAAAATACAGGCATCTATCAGACCACCCAAAACTCATCAACAGTATCCAAAAATAAAAAGCAAGTGAGGTCCACTTATGTCAAATTAGTATACGATGTAAAAACTCTTTCTTCTCTTTGTCAAAGCATGTGTGGGTTCCTGATATTGAATATTTCGGTAGCAACCTCGGCTAGTAGGATAGCCGGGGAAGATGGGTTTTTAACCCACCCAGGTCTGTAGGCTCAAAATTTCTGCAAGAAATCCGTTTTGATTGGAATCTAGCACGTCCCCAACAGCTACGGTTCCCATATCAACTAATACAAACATTTCTATTTGGGATGAATTGCCGATTGATTTCTACGGCATAAGACTATCAAAATTGATGATGGGAAACCTGCCACTTAAATCTACTACAATTTTTTCTTCAAAACCAAATTCTTAATTAGTTCAGATATTTCACTCTGAACTCCAAATCAATCCGAAAGCAATGGAAACAATATAAATGGAAGAAATCAATGAACCAAAAGCAACAAACTACCAAAACTAGAAAAGCCTGGGTTTGATCTCCAGCTTGGAATTTCTACACAACATTTTCCAACAGATTACAACAAATTCTTCAAAACGATAGGCGCAACGATATTCCAAACAAAAACTGACGAAAACAGGGTAAAAATTAGTAGAAATCCATAATCAAGAAGAACGAGAAACAGATAATCAATAATGGGTGCACGAAATCTATCGAAATGGGTTGATGGCCTACCTTGAGATGGGGAGATTTGTAGTTGAGAGTAGAGCAGCGTTGTTGCAGAGGCTTGTTGGGAATAGGAACTTGGGAAGGCGGTGAAAACTAAAGACGAAATAGGAAAATTTTCAAGAAAATCTCGTTATTTTGATCTGGATTTTTAAGTTTCAACGGTTTGTTTTGTTTCTGGATATTGGAGAAAGAGATTTTATTGGGTGGAAGGGATATTGGGTCCCGCGTTTTGTGGTGCACAGCGCGCCATCCCGGTCACTGACTCACTGGTGGGAGTCGCGACACACGATCCCGAGAGAAAAAGGTCGGAGCTTGGGAGATTACATTTACAGTGCTTGATGGGAGCTGCTATGGTAGCGAGTCATCCACGCGTCAGTTGATTAAGTGACAGTGGCTGTCGTTGGTTGGATCCACCGTACGGTTCCAGATTTGACGTGGTCCGTTAAAAGTGGATCTGGGCTCTGGGTGGGGGTTGGACCCGGTTTCAAGGATTGTCTCATGTCTCCAGATTGCGATTTTTGTGGTACAATCACACCACAAATCAGGAATGTTGTGTCAATCCAGTTGGTCTAAGTGTCCGTTAATACAGGTGGGTCCCATGGAATGTTCCACAGGTGTGGCCTATGTACGAGAACGAGGACTTTTCGTGTCGAGAGTAAAGACTCAAGAGAAGAGAATTTTACTACAAAACCTTTGAGATGCATTATTGCCTCAGCCCTCAGTCGGTTACAGGTTGAGAGGGCTGAAGCTTTGATTAAGCCGCTTTCATCAGAAAGTTGATTTCTCAGCTCGTATTTTTGGCTTTCCTGTTTTTCACCAAGCATGTCTTCATTGCTTTCCATGTGGGGGCTACCTTGCAACACCAAAAGCAGTTGAATGAAAGCCCTATGTGCCTGTTTGGGAGGGCTGAAGCACAACGACTTCTGCCTTTCTAAGTCATGTTGGTGAAAAAAAAATGAGAGCCCAAATCAGTTGTAAGTCATGTTGGAATCAGCAATTAATTCAACCATTATTTGTTTTTCAAGATAGAAGAAAATGAACTCAAGAGACAAGAAGAAGATGATTATATGGGTTTCGATATTGAAGAAGAATCCTATGAGTTTGAAATTTTGAGAGTTTTAATGTGGGAAGAGTTTTAACCATGGGATTCCTTGGTTTGAATTGTTTGATGGGTAACAACTTCACCAAGATTGGTTTTGATTTCAACCTGATCACCTCTTTGGCATTAAAATATATACATAAAAAAATCTTTGAAAGCCTAAGGCCAAGTTTGAGAGTGCATATTTGAAAAATAAGTATTGTTTATTGAACAAGTGGTTAACAAGTAGTTTATAACATTGATTTGTTTAGGGATATTTGGTGACCGGTCTTCCAAGCGAAAAAAAAAAAAAAATAGTTGGTTCTATAAGACACTTCAATTTTCTACTTGAGAAGGTTGATTTTTCGGTTAACATGTATATATTAAAAATAATGTCACAATGGGCATTTTAATCATTTTAGTTTTATAGATTTTTGGATTGCAATCCTCCTCAGAAATCAAATTTGCAGCCCCTCCTAGTCTACTAGTAACCCCCTATAAATGGCATCCTGCCCGTAAATTTGACATCAATCCATGGGCAAGATTCATTCCACCCCTAGTTTGGGTTTTTCTATTTTACAGGCTGTGCCTAGCCCTAGGGTCTAGTCCTTAGATAGCTCAAGCCTGGCCTGATTACATAGATATTACACATGTAGAAGCATATTTGCATATATGCATACACACGCACATATATTTATGCCAAATTTTAATTAGTATTGATTGATTGGCCAACCTAAGTGAATGGGTGCGCAACTTGGGCGAGCCCAACTCAAACCTGAACCAACCCAGCCCATAATTTTACATGGGCTGGGCTTAAATTTTTGGTCCTCCGGTTGGGCCTAGGCCCAAAAGTTCTGGCTTTCAATTTTTCGGGTTGGGCTTGGGCGTAGCCCTTAGAAGTCTGAATCCGGCCCAAACTTATCCCAACCCAATTAGATACATGTATATGTACATTAGTAGACACATATCTCATGCATACATGTATATATACATAATTTTTAATTACACATATACATATATATATATATATATAAT